TAAAAGTTACACCGGTGTAATTATAACCCTCCTCATATATATATATATATATATATATATATATATATATATTTGTTTGAAAATTACATTTTAAATGTATCTTAATAAACTTGTAATTTTTAGATGGCTATTGGTGAACCTCTATATTTAAATGTGTATTATGGAACAACTTTAATTTATCATTAGATCAGTCCATGAGATCTTAACATAGTATATATATATATATTCCTTCAATGTTATCTTTTTTTTAGTAGAGAAAATCTTTTAGAAAATATTTTTTTATCCAAATAACTTCATAGTCTTTAATGGTTATACTCTTTCAAAGTAAAATAATTTAACATTTTTAATTAATTAAAAATAATATCAATATAATTTTTAAGATAGTTATTATAAATTTGACAAATTTAACATATATAAGAGTTTATAATTAGAAAATAATATAAAATTATTTTATACTTTTAATACATAAATTATGTTTGACAAGACATTTGAAAACCTTTCTTTTAACCAACTTGTAAGTTAATTGGACCAAAATAAACTTATTTAGTATAAAAACTTATTTCAATAAATTTATAGTTTATTTTCATAAATTAGTTAAAGTAGCTTATAATTTACAAGTTCTTAACTTTTTTTAACCCTCATTAATTTACTTAAATCTTCTTTACCTTTTTGGATTTAAAAACCATTTTACTTACAATTATTCATTCATTCTCATTGCCAAATAAATATATTATTTTACATTAATTAACTACTTACTAGTTAATATTATGTGGAGAAAAAATAAATTCTAAAAGGGGAAACCGAATAGTATTAATAAAAAATTTAATATTTTTTCAAACACAATAAAGTAATATAAAAAATTTAAGAGTATAAACCAAGAGTCAGAAGTTGAGAACACGTAATATTTTTATATTAGTTTGTTTCAATTATTAAAATTATGTCTAATTTTTGATCAATTTAATTAAGTTTTATTATCTTTCACAAAAATATAAATATTATTTTACAAGTTACTTTTGATTTAACCTAAGTACTTTTTAACTAGTCTCTTCAAACAACTACCTAAATAATATTATTTGAACAACTAAGTCTCTTGAGATTTTAACAACCAAGTATTCTTTGCAATAAAGTTTCTTTAGGTTTCAAATAATAACACAAAGTTAAAGCTAAGGAATCACTAGTTGTTTCATCTTACTTTTAAGATGTGATACAATAAAATTAAGTATAAAGTTTTTTTATAGAAAAAAATGAATGTGTTTTTACAATGAGTGTTTTTTCTTCTTTACAAGTCTTTAAGTTTTTTTTATATAGGTGTTTCGTGGAGATGACATTTGCAAATCTTTAAATATCTCTCAAAGACTTATTTCATCTACCTTTATCTTCCTTTCTTATAAAAAGAAATGTCCATTAATACATTTAATGTGAACAATAAACGTTTTTCACCAAATTGTCATTTCTTATCTGTTAAAAAATGATACTTATCACCTTTAAGATATTAACACAGAAGAAACTATTGTGTATGTCAATTAGAAACAACTCTTTCTAAGTCTTCATGTGTTTTGAGGGATTTGTTTGATCTTTTTTTTTTTTTATGAAGTTCCTTTTTGAGGTGCAAGTATCAAATAGGCTTTTTATTTTTTTATTATTATTAAGGAATAACATAGACAAATATGATTTGATTATCAAATATCATAAACGATATAATATTAAACACATTCATCTTACATTATAACTAATTATTTATACTAATTCATTATAACCAATTGTCTATGCTAATTCGTCCTATATGATGATTTGAATTTTTTTTCTTCTAAAAATGTTTAGGTTTGTTAACATTAAAATCGATATTTTGAGGAGATCTAATGTCATATTTTGATATAGTAAACTTTTTTTTTATGACAAACACATTTTAAAAAATACATTTATCAAATCTAGTCAATTTCAATTATTAAATGAATAATCGATTGTTCAAAATATTTCTTATTAGAGAACAAATGTTCATTTAAAGTAAGTGTTTATGACATATTTAAATAGTTTATTTAATATATCAATAGAATTATTAAAAACATACATACCCCACATATATATATATATATATATATATATATATATATGGCTAAAAACCTAATTTGGTCTCTTATAATAATTTTTTATTTCAATTTAGTTTCACTTTTATTTTTGGTTTCAATTTGGTCCCAAACTAATTAATTGGTTTCAATTTAGTTCCTAATAAATTAATTGGTTTCAAT